CAATGGAATGTATTCTGACAAATGGAATTAGCCTGAGCCCTAATTTGAGAAAAAAATTTTACTCGACACATCTAAATCTAATTGTATTTACAAAAGAAAACGAAAAAACACAACCATATTTTACAAAGATAACAACTTAGGTTCACGAGGATCCTTTCTACCAGCTGGTCCTTGGTCAAACCTCTTGGTAATGATTTTACAAGGATAACAACTTAGGTTCACGAGGATCCTTTCTACCAGCTGATTCTTGGTCAAACCTCTTGGTATTGATTTTACAAGGATAACAACTTAGGTTCACGGGGATCCTTTCTACCAGCTGGTCCTTGGCCAAACCTCTTGGTATTGATTTTACAAGGATAACAACTTAGGTTCACGAGGATCCTTTCTACCAGCTGGTCCTTGGCAAAACCTCTTGGTATTGATTTTACAAGGATAACAACTTAGGTTCACGAGGATCCTTTCTACCAGCTGGTCCTTGGTCAAACTTCTGGTAATGATTTTACAAGGATAACAACTTAGGTTCACGAGGATCCTTTCTACCAGTTGTTCCTTGGTCAAACTTCTGGTAATGATTTTACAAGGATAACAACTTAGGTTCACAAGGATCCTTTCTACCAGCTGGTCCTTGGTCAAACTTCTGGTAATGATTTTACAAGGATAACAACTTAGGTTCACCAGGATCCTTTCTACCAACTGATCCTTGGTCAATCCTACCAAGATTATCCGTACTTATTTACATTCAAAATCAAAGACATTTACTCAGATCTGGGTTACAAAAAATGATAAAATACATAAAAACTTGAGCTGAATTTTCTCTAATGAACGGCATAGCTGCATAGTTGGGAAACTAAGACACCACAAAACATAACTTGTAGTTCCAGGAATATTTCTAAATTTTTTCGTAACTTGATTCCGTTTTACAACCATTGACACAGAAGTGAATTCCATCCTGAAAATTATTAAAAAAAATTGCATGTTTAAGTTAATTCTATCCCATAATACTAATAGATTAAAGAGATTGTAAAGAACCACAGACGTCTGATTGAAAATTAGAATGATGTAAATTGATGCTATCAGTGTCCCTGATACACATAAAAAATATAGAAAACCTCTTTACAATCTCTTTAACAAGAACCACAGACGTCTGATTGAAAATTAGAATGATGTAAATTGATGCTATCAGTGTCTCTGATACACATAAAAATTTTTAAATCAACTTTTCTATGTCTTTAACCTTATGAAATTATGCATATGGATTCGTTCTATCTTTACTGAAAAAGGAAAAAAATAAAATTTTCTAAACTTACTCTAACTAATAATGGAAAATCTCTCCAGAATTCTATATTTGGTATCGTTTCACTGCCTTCAGCTTTACGTACAAATTTCAAAAATAAAAAACCACCTAACCAATACACGATCAATAACACGAAAAATCTGCAAAATCAAATTCAAATCCATGCGCTTCTTCAAGATTTTGGTCAAAATAAGATTTCAATTTAGCTTTGTTGTCGTTATATTTTTATTGGTCTCATATGTAATCTAACGAGATTTATACCAAAGTCGTGTTCTGGTGCCATTTTAAGCAGCAGGGTTGTTGATTTGGCTTTATTTGCCGGACGTGAATGGCTAGGACAGCT